AAGAGCATGAGATTCTTAATGATATTAATTTGAGAATCACCGCAGTTGAAATGCTTATTTTTGAATACTGGAAACGGACGTGGCTGAAGCGACGGTGGAGTAGCAGCCACCACTCACTCGTAGGTTTCTTAGGACACTGAACTGAGCAGTACAATGAGTGAGGTAGTGAGTCCAGGCGACTTAAAGCTGACAGTGAATGACGGAAAGGGAGCTCAGGAAAACCCGGTCAATTCGGAAGAAGCGCGTCAAGCTGCTCCTGCTGAATTGGAGAGCACACGAAATGCTTTGGGACTTCAGAAAACAACGGAACCGCATATGAAGGAGAATAAGTGGAAGTTGGCGTTCCGCCAGCTAATGTTCATGAAGCGCATGAACATGCAGTTCAACGACCGAACCAAAAACGAAATCGAGTTAAGACAGCAGAATATTTCGGTGAGTTAATCATGCACGCTAGAGTGGTAAGGGGGCTAATTTGTACAATGATATCCAGCCAACGTCGCTGATCTGCAGCGTGCCTTACTTCAATACATTCTCGGCTGAAGAGATTAAGGCGCTGGTTGCAGCCAGTCGACGAGTCCGTTTACGCCCGGGGGAAACTTTGTCGCTGGGCACAGCGAACGCGAATTTGCAAGAAGAAGGCGACTTCTGTGTCGTTATCAGTGGCAACTTAGCCTTATCTAAGGCTTCTGTCCCTAGTGCGATGGCACTGAAGCAGGCATCACTGTACCCACAACTGAGACTTGGTATTGGTGACTACTTCTCCATCCGTGACTCGTCGGATATGAAAGTGATTGCGATGGAGTTGGCAGAGCATCTAACGATACCCATGAAGGTGCGTGGTGATTTTGGTTCGGCTTAAATTTACGCTTCTCAGTTTAGTTTTATTTCTCATATGTAGACGATCTTGCAAATTAACGCGGCCAGCTGCGCACTTATCGATGCAGAGAAGAACGACTTGGCTCCAGAGTCAAGCGAGGTAAATAGAATATGCATAATTTCGATATTTTTGAATTTCTCACTAATCGAAATGATATATACAGATGGAGAGTTTCAAGAAGTGGGCGTTGCAATTCAGCCTGATCCGGCAAAAAAGTGAATGTCCTGTTACAGAGCGTGGAGGCTTTGCTAATTGCTCTGTCAAAACCTTTTGCAAGGACCACTTTCCAAATATCACACCAGAGAACGAGCTGGATCATACTCTCGAATACGTGAAAAATGCGCTGACTTCAATTTTTTCGGCTCGCAAAGTGAGAATCTACGCGCTCGATGACGTTAGCCAAAAGCTTGTCATTAAGGTACTCCCTTCTCTATAGATGTCTATGTTATAAAGCTTTCTGATTTTGTATGTCTTGGGCATCAGTTTTCAGACGAAAAACTGTCGAAGAGAAGTGTAGACCTGTTGTCAAGTACTGGACAGCAAGTTCTCGATAAGGGGGGACCGATTTGTGTTGAGAACGCGGCAGCATTGCTGAGCGACGAGATCGATGAAAATGACGTGGCACGAGAATTGTATCACCCAGATACTATCATTCTCGCAGCTCCATTTCTCGAGTTTGATGCTATGCAAACGAATGGCAGATCAATAGGGACGGCCAAGGTTGTGGGTGTTCTGGAGATTGTCATTGAACCGAGCGACCTTGAAGGTGATGTTAGCTCAGCCACCAGCAACGATTTCTGTATCCTTGAATTTGTCACTGAGGAGATTGGTCGTTATCTCTTTTTCCACTACGAACGCTTCTTTGACGTGTCGTCACTAGCCCCGACACAGCCACTCCCAACAGGGAGCAGCGAGTTGGGAAACACAGAGTTGTTTCCTTCACCTCCCGAAGGTCCAGTTTTGCAGGATCATCGACACCTCGTTCTTAACATCGGCAAGGTGAAATTGAGTGTTCCAGAGACTGTTACGCTCGCGAAAATTAGTATCCAGCATGGATCTACAGTTCTGTACGAGACCAGCACATTGCTGCGGTATGAATCCCACCGCGATTCTCATGGAGATAAATCGCACCTGTCTTCTCGTGAGGTCAGTTGCGATCCAAGCAGTGGCATTGAAATGGGTTTACGTCTGATCGATATGCCCCATGGTTCACATTTAAAGTTAACCTTCACTACTAAGACAGGAGACGTGGTTGCGTGGAGTGGACTCCACTTATTCGACTTCGGACATACCTTACGAACCGGAACTACACTCATGGATATCGTGGTGCTTCCTACTGGATCGGGGATTATCACGCCTCTGGACATTGAGAACTGCTTGCGTCATGATAAGCTCAACCACCAGAGAGTTGGTAGTATGGAGATCACCTTGGAATGTTCAGGCTCGTGTCCTCAATCGTTTGCTTTCTCGAGTATTTCGACTAAGAAGAAGAGCATCGCCTTCCGAGCGTCTATCTTTTTCAAGCGCGACAGTGAGCGGAAGTCAGGAGCCCACGAGACCCCGTCCTTAGAGAATATTCCAATGGACAAGCAGAAGCTCTTACAGCGACTGAGAAGAGATCCTCTCGTTGATTTGTTTATTGAGGATCGGACGTTCATTTGGACTTCACGGTTGATGTTGATGGAAGATTCGGCACTGCTTCCAGCGTTTCTACTGTCTGTAGATTGGGGCAATCGAGAGCAAGTACTGGAAGCGTATCGGTTGCTGTTGCACTGGAAACAACCGACTTATCTGCAAGCTCTTCAGTTACTGAGTCCGCTCTATTCGGACCCTAAAGTGCGCGCTTACGCTGTCCGCTGCATGCACGCACTGCCCGATTATCGACTGCAATTGTATCTCCTCCAACTAGTTCAAGCACTAAAGAACGAGCGTTACCACGATTCAGCACTTGCTCGGTTCTTACTGATGCGTGCACTAACGAATCCGCCACAAATCGGTTATTTGCTGTATTGGTTCCTCAAGGCGGAATCGCACAACCAGCAAACAGCAGAACGCTTCAACCTCATCTCGTCCCAATATCTCCAGCTTTGTGGGAACTACAAGTTAGAGATCCGTCAATCGGTATACGTAATGAAGAAACTCGAGGAGGTCGCTGCAATCGTGAAGGGTGAATCTTCATCAACAGCTCGTAAGGAGAAGCTGCACAAGGCGTTGGAAGCTGTCGTCTT